CATCTCCCTGTCCCGGTGACACCCACTCCATCATCTGCCTGCCCCGGTGACACCCACTCCATCATCTGCCTGCCCCGGTGACACCCACTCCCTCATCTCCCTGTCCCGGTGACACCCACTCCCTCATCTCCCTGTCCCGGTGACACCCACTCCCTCATCTCCCTGTCCCGGTGACAACCAAGCCCTCATCTCCCTGTCCCAGTGACACCCACTCCTCATCTCCCTGTCCCAGTGACACCCACTCCATCATCTCCCTGTCCCAGTGACACCCACTCCCTCATCTCCCTGTCCCAGTGACACCCATTCCCTCATCTTCCTGTCCCAGTGATACCCACTCCCTCATCTCCCTGTCCCAGTGACACCCACCCCCTCATCTCCCTGTCCCAGTGACACCCACTTCCTCATCTCCCTGTCCCAGTGACACCCACTCCCTAGGGTTGCCTCATCCCTTTAAAACCAAACACATAATAATGACACAGGTTCGGTGGCTGGTGAAGGTGGTAGTTAAACTCACGTACCTGCATTAAATTAGCCTCAGAACCTGCATAATTATTATGTGTTCAATTTTAAAGGGATGAGGTGGGAACCCTACCACTCCCCAGTGACACCAACTCCCTCATCTCCCTGTCCCAGTGACACCCACTCCCTAGGGTTGTCTCATCCTTTTAAAACCGAACACATATTATTGGCACAGGTTTGGTGGCTGGTGAAGGTGGCAACTAAACTCACTTACCTGCAGTAAGTCAGCCTCAGTACCTGCGTAATTATTGTGTTCAGTTTTAAAGAGATGAGGTAGCAACCATACCACTCCCCAGTGACACCAACTCCCTCATCTTCCTGTCCCATTGACACCCATTCCCTCATTTGCCTGTCCCAGTGACCCTCATCTTCCTGTCCCAGTAACCCTCATGACCTCATCTTCCTGTCCCAGTGACACCAACTCCCTCATCTTCCTGTCCCATTGGCACACCAACTCCCTCATCTTTCTGTCCCATTGATACCCGTTCCCTCATCTTCCTGTCCCGGGGACCCTCATACCCTCATTTTCCTGTCCCAGTGACACCAACTCCTTCATCTTCCTATCTCATTGACACCTGTTCCCTCATCCTACTGTCCCAGTGACCCTCATTTTCCTGTCCCAGTGACCCTTGTACCCTCATCTTCCTGTCCCAGTGACCCTCGTACCCTCATCTTCCTGTACCGGTGACCCTCATACCCTCATCTTCCTGTTTCAGTGACCCTTGTATCCTCATCTTCCTGTACCGGTGACCCTTGTATCCTCATCTTCCTGCACCGGTGACCCTTGTATCCTCATCTTCCTGTTTCAGTGACCCTTGTATCCTCATCTTCCTGTTTCAGTGACCCTTGTATCCTCATCTTCCTGTACCGGTGACCCTCGTATCCTCATCTTCCTGTACCGGTGACCCTCGTATCCTCATCTTCCTGTCCCAGTGACCCTCGTATCCTCATCTTCCTGTCCCAGTGACCCTTGTACCCTCATCTTCCTGTTTCAGTGACCCTCATACCCTCATCTTCCTGTACCGGTGACCCTTGCAACCTGATCTTCCTGTCCCAGTGACACCTGTTCTCTTGTCCTACTTTCCCAGTGACCCTCATACTCTAACCTTCCTGTCCCAGCGACCCTCATACCCTCATCTTCCTGCCTCATTGACACCCGTTCCCTCATCTTTCTGTCCCAGCGACCCCCCCTTCCCTTATCTGATTGTCCCAGTGACACCTGTTCTCTCGTCCTACTTTCCCAGTTACCTTCATACCCTCACCTTCCTGTCCCATTGACACCCGTTCCCTAATCTTCCTGTCTCAATGATCCTCATAACATCATCTTCTTGTACCGGTGACCTTTGTACCCTCATCTTCCTGTACCGGTGACCTTTGTATCCTCATCTTCCTGTACCGGTGACCCTTGTACCCTCATCTTCCTGTCCCAGTGACACCTGTTCTCTTGTCCTTCTTTGCCAGTGATCCTCGTTCTCTAACCTTCCTGTCCCAGCGACCCTCATACCCTCACCTTCCTGTCCCATTGACACCCGTTCCCTAATCTTCCTGTCTCAATGATCCTCATACCATCATCTTCCTGTACCGGTGACCTTTGTACCCTCATCTTTCTGTCCCAGGGACCCTCCTTCCCTTACCGTCCTGTCCCAGTGACACCTGTTCTCTTGTCCTACTTTCTCAGTGACACCTGTTTAATCATCTTCCTGTCCCCAGTGAAACCCATTCCCTCATTTTCCTGTCCCAGTGACACCCATTACCTTATCTTCCTGTCCCGGTGACACCTATTTGCTCATCTTCCTGTCCCTGTGTCATCCATTCCCTGAGAAAACCCAGAAGGTAGCATTGCTGGTTGGAAAACCAGTACTGAGAAAGCCCAGAAGGTGCCATTAATGGTTGGAAAACCAGTACTGAGAAAGCCCAGAAGGTGCCATTATTGGTTCAGAAACCAATACTGAGAAAACCTAGAGGGTGCCATTTCTGGCTGGGAAACTTGTACTGAAAAGCCCATAGGGTGCCATTACTGGTTGGGAAACGTGCTGAGAAAGCCCAGAAGGTGCCATTGCTGGTTTGGAAACCAATACTGAGAAAACATAGAGGGTGCCATTGCTAGCTGGGAAATCTGTACTGAGAAAGTCCATGGGCTGCTATTACTGGTTGGAAAACCAATACTGAGAGAGTCTATGGGGTGCCATTACTAGTTAAGAAATCATTACTGAGGAAACCTAGAGGGTGCCATTACTGGTTGGGAAGCCTATACTGGGCAGAAGGTGCCATTGATGGTTGGGAAACCAGTGCTCAGAAAGCCCAGAAGGTGCCATTGCTTGTCGGGAAACCAGTACTGAGAAAGCCCAGAAGGTGCCATTACTGGTAGGGAAACTAGTGCTGAGAAAGCCCAGAAGCTGCCATTGCTGGTCGGGTAACTAGTATTGGGAAAGCCTAGAAGGTGCCATTGCTGGTTGGGAAACCAGTACTGAGAAAACCTAGAGGGTGCCATTGCTGGCTGGGAAACCTGTACTGAGAAAGTCCATGGGGTGCCATTACTGGTTGGGAAACGAGTACTGAGAAAGCCCAGAAAGTGCCTGTCAGGAATGGACTGGCCAGCAATGGTGGGACTCACCTGCCTTTTGATCTGCAGTACCAGGACTGGCCAGCGGATGCTCCCAGCAATCAGAGACTCAACTTTGCAGCCAGCTAACACCTGGAACTGATTATGCTGGGGTATTTAAGGGATGGCCAGACCCACAGACTCTGCCTTGGTGTTGTGTTTGTCCTGGGCCCTGTATCCTGTTTCTGTCCTGCATCCTGTTTCTGAACCGCTGCTGACTTCTCCTGCTCTGATCCCGGCTCGCTCCTGACCATCCCTCTGCCTGACCCTCTGTACCACGCTGCTTGCTACCTGTTCTGATCCCTGGCTTGTGACCCTGACCATCCCTCTGCCTGACCCTCTGTACTACGCTGCTTGCTACCTGCTGAACCTGGCCTGTGACCCCGACCAATCTCCGCTTGCTCCCCCTGTACCTACCTGCCCTATTGATATTGACCCGGCCTGCCTGACGACGCTTGCTTGTATGTACTGTTATCTGTGGGTGGTTGGTTTGGTTTGGTTTGGTTGCACTGTATTATGTTTTAGTATTGCACTGCATTTATGTTTGTATTGTTAGTGTTAATAAATTATATTGTTTATAACATATCTGAGGTCTGCGTTTCCCTGCGTCAGCCACACACCTCTGGTCACACTTGGGAGCCCTGACAGTGCCATTGCTGGTTGGGAAACTAGTAATGAGAAAGCCCAGAAGGTGCCATTGCTGGTTGGGAAACTAGTAATGAGAAAGCCCAGAAGGTGCCATTGCTGGTTGGGAAACCAGTACTGAGAAAGCCCAGAAGGTGCCATTGCTGGTTGGGAACCAGTACTGAGAAAGCCCAGAAGGTGCCATTGCTGGTTGGGGAACCAGTACTGAGAAAGCCCAGAAGGTGCCATTGCTGGTTGGGAAACCAGTAATGTGAAAGCCCAGAAGGTGCCATTGCTGGTTGGGAAACCAGTAATGTGAAAGCCCAGAAGGTGCCATTATTGGTTGGGAAACTAGTAATGTGAAAGCCCAGAAGGTGCCATTATTGGTTGGGAAACTAGTGCTGAAAAAGTCCAGAAGGTGCCATTGCTGGTTGGGAAACTAGTGCTGAAAAAGCCCAGAAGGTGCCATTGTTGGTTGGGTAAACAGTGCTGAGAAAGCTCAGACCTCGCCTTCTCATTATCCCATTCCTCTGCAGGAAGTGGACTAAATAATATCCCAACAATACATTACTGAGACCTCATAAAGTCACGTTTGCTTCCAAGCCCGCCTTAATCCTTCCTGGAATGCTGCCATACAGGTCCTGATCTGTCCGTGTTGGAATGTGCACCATTCCGAGGGCAAAGCAGGAGGAAATCTGCATTCTCTTCCATAATAGATCTGGTGTAAGGATACATTTATTTATACAGATCTTTACACCTGAACTAAAAGAGGGACATTTGTAGAGGAGTGAGCTTTGGTTCCAATAAGTCATCTGCAGGGGACCCATTACGTAAATTACTTATTAACCACTTCAAGTCTGGACACTTTCACCCCCTTCTAGTCCAGGCCGATGTTCAGCTTTCAGCACTGCCGCACTTTAGATGACAATTGAATGTAACACGGCTCCCAAATGAAATTTTTTAATAATTTTTTTAACGCAAATAGAGCTTTCTTTTGGTATTTGATCAACACTTTTATTTTTGTTATGTAAATGAAAAAAAATACCGAAAATTTTGAAAAAAAAATAAATTTTTTTGCTTAGTTTTTGTTATTAAATTTTGCAAAATAATAATCTTTGTTCATAAATTTAGGATAAAATGTATTCTGCTTCATTTGTTGGGTAAAAATAACACAAAACAGAGTATAGAGTCTATAAATTATAGGATATATATCTGAAAATTGATCAGTTGAGACCCTAAAATGCTGGACGCTGGTATGACATATGGCAATGATTTGGATGTTGGTATGGCGTATGGCAATGATTTGGATGCTGGTATGGGGTATGGCGGTGATCAGGACGCTGGTATGGGGTATGGCGGTGATCAGGACACTGATATGGGGTATGGAGGTGATCAGGATCCTTGTTTGGGGTATGGCGGTGATCAGGACACTGGTATGGAGTACGGCGGTGATCAGGACGCTGGTATGGAGGTGATCAGGATGCTGGTATGGGGCATGGCAGTGATCAGGACACTGGTATGGGGTATGGTTGTGATCAGGACGCTGGTATGGGGTATGGTGGTAATCAGGATGCTGGTATGGCATATGGCTGTGATCAGGACGCTGGTATGGGGTATGGTGGTGATCAGGATGTTGGTATGGGGCATGGCGGTGATCAGGACGCTGGTATGGGGTATGGTGGTGATCAGGACGCTGGTATGGGGTATGGCAGTGATCAGGATGCTGGTATGGGGTATAGCATTGATCAGGACGCTGGTATGGGGTATGGAGGTGATCAGGATGCTGGTATGGGGCATAGCGGTGATCAGGACGCTGGTATGGGGTATGGTGGTGATCAGGGTGCTGGTATGGGGTATGGCGGTGATCAGGACGCTGGTATGGGGTATGGCGGTGATCAGGACGCTGGTATGGGGTATGGTGGTGATCAGGGTGCTGGTATGGGGTATGGCGGTGATCAGGGCACTGGTATGGGGTATGGTGGTGATCAGGACGCTGGTATGGGGTATGGTGGTGATCAGGATGCTGGTATGGGGTATGGCTGTGATCAGGATGCTGGTATGGGGTATGGCGGTGATAAGGACGCTGGTATGGGGCATGGCGGTGATCAGGACGCTGGTATGGGGTATGGCGGTGATCAGGACGCTGGTATGGGGTATGGCTGTGATCAGGACGCTGGTATGGGGCATGGCGGTGATCAGGACGCTGGTATGGGGCATGGCGGTGATCAGGGCGCTGGTATGGAGTATGGCGGTGATCAGGATGCTTGTATGGGGTATGGCGGTGATCAGGACACTGGTATGGGGTATAACATTGATCAAGATGCTGGTATTGGGGTATGGCGTTGATCAGGACGCTGGTATAGGGTATAACATTGATCAGAACGTTGGCATGAGATATGGTGGTGATCAGGACACTGGTATGAGGTATAACATGGATCAGGACGCTGGTATGGGGTATGGAGGTGATCAGGATGCTGGTATGGTGGTGATCAGGATGCTGGTATGAAGTATGGCGGTGATCAGAACGCTGGTATGGGGTATGGTGGTGATCAGGACGCTGGTATGGGGTATGGCGGTGATCAGGACGCTGGTATGGGGTATGGCGGTGATCAGGATGCTGGTATGGGGTATGGCGGTGATCAGGACACTAGTATTGGGTATGGCGGTGATCAGAACTTTTCATGAGGTGTGGTGGTGATCAGGACGCTGGTATTGGGTTTACCTTTGATCAGGACACTGGTATGGGGTATGGCAGTGATCAGATCGTTGGTGCGGTGTATGGCGGTGATCCGGACGCTGGTATGATCCACATGTTCCAGTAAGAGTCCCTTAAGCCTACGGTGGTGGTAAACAGGACACTGGTATGGGGTATGGAGGTGATCAGGATCCTTGTTTGGGGTATGGCGGTGATCAGGACACTGGTATGGGGTATGGCGGTGATCAGGACACTGGTATGGAGTACGGCGGTGATCAGGACGCTGGTATGGAGTATGGCAGTGATCAGGATGCTGGTATGGGGTATAGCATTGATCAGGACGCTGGTATGGGGTATGGAGGTGATCAGGATGCTGGTATAGTGTATGGCGGTGATCAGGACGCTGGTATGGGGTATGGTTGTGATCAGGACGCTCGTATGGGGTATGGTGGTGATCAGGATGCTGGTATGGAGTACGGCATTGATCAGGACACTGGTATGGGGTATGGAGGTGATCAGGATGCTGGTATGGGGTATGGCAGTGATCAGGGCTCTGGTTTGGGGTATGACAGTGATCAGGACGCTGGTATGGGGTATGGAGGTGATCAGGACGCTGGTATGGGGTATGGAGGTGATCAGGACGCTGGTATGGGGTATGGAGGTGATCAGGACGCTGGTATGGGGTACGGTGGTGATCAGGACGCTGGAATGGGGTATGGAGGTGATCAGGACGCTGGTATGGGGTACGGTGGTGATCAGAACGCTGGTATGGGGTATGGTGGTGATCAGGACGCTGGTATGGGGTATGGTGGTGATCAGGACACTGCTATGAGGTATGGTGCTGATCAAGGAGCTGGTTTGTGGTATGACAGTGCTCAGGACGTTGGTATGGGGTATAGCATTAATCAGGAGGTTAGTATAAGGTATGACGTTGATCAGGACGCTGGTATGGGGTACATCGGTGATCAGGATGCTGGTATGAGGCATGGCAGTGATCAGGACACTGGTATGGGGTATAGCTTTGATCAGAACGTTGGCATGAGGTATAGCAGTTATCAGGACGCTGATATGGGGTATGGCGGTGATCAGGACACTGGTATGGGGTATAACATTGATCAGAACGTTGGCATGAGATATGGTGGTGATCAGGACACTGGTATGAGGTATAACATGGATCAGGACGCTGGTATGGGGTATGGAGGTGATCAGGACGCTGGTATGGTGGTGATCAGGATGCTGGTATGGGGTATGGCGGTGATCAGGATGCTGGTATGGGGTATGGGGGTGATCAGGATGCTGGTATGGGGTATGGTGGTGATCAGGATGCTGGTATGGGGTACTTCTGAAAAAGTCAAAGGAAGTGACGAAACGCGTCAGGACACGTGACGTCATACGCATCGACGTTGACCGGAAGTGCGATCGCGGCCATCTTGGAAGTGGGAACATGCGGTTTATGTTTCCCTGAACCTGTCCATGTACACACTGCTTGTGAGGAGGAGCGGTTACCACGGAATATTATGTGAGGAGCTGTTACCACGGAATGTTATGTGAGTTATTAATAAAGAAGAATACCTTTTATTTTGACTGGTTTTCTGGAGGAAAGTGGAGGAGGTGACCCTAACCGTTGGAGAAAATCAATGAGAGGAGATTGTAACCCTGAGTGGTTAATCTGCCCTGCTGATTCTTCTATAGGGTAATTACCCATCCTTATTAGAGTTGGAGAGCGGTGTTTTGGGTGTTGGCTTCCACTTTACATATACATAGGGTGTAGTGTGATACACTGGCAGTTTATCTGTGAAGTGGTTTCTCACACATTATATGACATATTCTATGGGAATGTGTTTTCACTCTTATGTGTTCTGACACTTGGTTGGAGTATACACATTGATTTTGCATGAGGCACATATAGTGGCACGTGTGTTTACATTATTTAAGGTATGACACTATGTCGAGTTCTTTTTCTTTTTGAGGTGCATGAATATCAGGATCTGCGGGTATTAAGAAGGTTTGTGGTGATGCAAGAAGAAGAAAAAGTTTAAGTGTTTTGAGTTTACACTTGTGAGGATTATTTTTTTGTGGGACTTTTTTTGTTTTATTTATTTTTGTTTTTTGGACACGGTGGGACTTTTGGACATTATTTTCTATATTTTGGTTTGATTTTTTGTTTTATTCTGTTCATAGAAAAGTTACACATATATAATATCATCACACTGATTGGAGTCAAGGTTGGCTCACTCCTGGCTCCAATTAGCTCTGGGAGAAGTCATTAAGCTAGGGCCTCACATACTTTTTCCTCCCTGCACTGTGAATGTTTACATGTTATGTGCAATTAAACCATGGCAACATCTAATGTTTGTGTAGTATTATGTTCAGCAGACTGTGTTCTTCTATTGTTGTGACTTAGATGACGTTCAGAGCATATTTTATGCCCAATTCATGCAAAACTCCACGTAATCGCAAGGGGTTCACATACTTTTTCTTGCAACTGTATATATACACACACACGTTTGTATCCAATTCATTTAATTGTTTTTGCCAGCTGCTTCCTCTAGAACTACCAGCGTGATCTTTGTGTGCATAGTAAGGTTGACGTGGATGCCAATCACTGCCGGTAATTATACTGGCCTTCCCTCCTCCAGTGCTCCGTGCACCCAGGGATGCCAAGTGACATACTTGGTGCTTCTTGGTATGGATTGGAGAGCTTGTCATTCACTACCCTTCCTCCTACATGACTGCAGTGGTGCATGGTAATTGGCCATTCAGGCACTCAGCATTGGCACGGGGGGCAAGAAGAGGGTCTTCAGTCCTGAGTAAGTTTGAAGTTTTGAAGAGTTGCTCTGTGGGCTCGAGCGACCCAGAGACAATAACCAGGGTGTTGCATTTTAGGCAAGTAGGTTATATTCTATATAAATCCTGTATAATAATAATATTCTGAAAACCCTGAGGGGCTGTAAGGATAGGGGCAATAAAATGGTTGCACACTTTTTACACTTAGGCCCTTTTGTCTTTGGTTACACCTAACATTAAGGGACATATTCATTAAAGTCTGACAAAAGAAATCAAGAAGAAAGCATCCTGAGTCCTGGGGCAGCCTTCCCTTTAGCATGGGGAACCAGCATGCTACGGCCCTATTGTATATTTCTCAGTGTTTGCAAAACAACCATATAGTGCGTGAGTTAACTCCTCTCATGGCTGGTGGCCAACTTGTTCATCGGGCCTCACACCAGATGGATAACGTCCTTTTTCCCGCCAGTAACACCTGTCCCGGCACTGACTACAAAGGTAATTCAAGCAAGATGGCACTGAACCCTGATCTCACTTCACCAGCTCTGTAACACATGGCACATTACACCGTACCCTTCAACCCGAAGGCAAGGAGGCAAACTGCTGTATAATTTACAAGGCCTTGTATTTCCCTGGTCCAGGTCCAGTCCATAGGAGAGTTCTGTGACGGATGGGTGTAAATTGAGAAGTTGGAGTTCTATTGCTCATTTAACGTAGAGAGATCCCTATGTTGGGCAAAAAACCTTTCTAGTGCTAGACATGGAGGAAATCTTTTGAATGGGATATATGGTATAGGCCAGTGGTCGGCAAGCCGCGGCTCGCGAGCCATATGCGGCTCTTTACACATTTTAATGCGGCTCTTCTGTGTGCCGGGCGCCCGCTCCCCTCCCTCCTCTCGGGCGGCCGCCCCAAAAGTCAGGACTCTGCAGCTAGCCCAGCAATGGGCAAACTACGGCCCGGCAAACCTTTTAATCCGGCCCGCGGAGCGTGGCAAACATTGGCTGTCAGGATGTAGGCGGGGCAGCCAGAATGTAGGCGGGGCAGCGTGACGAACTCCTCTCCTCTCACAGTCCGCCCTGAAGACCGGAACGGCGCGGGAACA